CAGACGTTTCAGGTTGAAAACATTCCTTATCATCATTTCTATTGACATCAGATTCAGAAGAAACTGTATCAAGAGTCTCCGTTAGAGTAGATTCAGGTACCTCAGGTCCATGAGCAACAGGTCTTATAAGCTGATTGAAGGTTCAGATGAGAAATTTCCTTTTTATTTCGACTGTTGTAGCCTTGCATTACATGAGCAAAAATAGTAGTCATCTCCCTAGTTTCTAGGCTCATGCCAGATCATTGGAATTCCAAAGAGCAAAGATTTTTTCTTACCTTTATTCCATTGTCTCAACTCTTCGACACAAAAATTGGTAAAAAAACCCAATGAAACTGCAAAACAAGTTCATACACTCGTACTGTCCATTTTCCAGTTTCATCAGGGTTTCTTACCACTTTTTATCCTGTACAGTAAGTTATTGTATTTTAGTAATTTGGAGACTGGAAACAATCTCATTTTTATAGAATTGTGTATAAAATAATAGTTGTTTTTTAAAAATTGTGAGTTTTTAAGATTGAGCATTACACATGTGCCAAAAAATTGTTTTAAAAATACCATTTATGTCTGTATCTATGTCATTCAGTTGATACAAGTGTTCTACTACTGAATACTAAACATGCACAATTAGCAAATTTGTGGACTAAAACATTCAGATATTATAAATGCATCCTTCTGCTGTCCACAAGTGGTTGCTCAGTCAAACTATATTTTCTGTCCAAAGTCCTATGACGAAATAGTAAAAATCAAAAACATGATGCACAATACAAATGGATAAAGAAACACTAACCTCATGCTTCTTTAAGTTCTTGGATCTCTGTAATAATATTTCTAAAACTGGTATAAGAAATGCCAGAGTTTTCCCACTACCCGTCACAGCTTCCACAGCTACATCCTTTTTAGACAGAAATTGAGGTATACAAGTAGCCTAGAACAAAAATATTAAATTTCTCTTTTAACACAAGTATATATATTATATCTTAAACACAAAATACAATCAACATTTATCTTCATCGAAAAAAACAATCACATGCAACAAGCAAATACCAGGATTGACCTCTTCTAATTAATTTTCGACAATAAAATTAATTTCAATATAAAAAAGAAACTTTTAGGTATCACCAACATCAGTGGTTGGTAATCTCATCTAATTTGTGAGCCACATATGCAGCCTCAAATCCCCTAAATGGTTGGAAGATCCCCTTGACCACTCATAAGCCAAAAATGATACACTTGAATAAAAATTAGCTATATGTGAAACATTATTTCAAAATGCAGGAGTTCTGAGGTTGATCTTTTTAAGGAGCATCAAGTTACAAACCACTGACCTATAGTTATGTAAATATAATTAACAGAGAAACATTCATTTTGTATGGCACAAGTTTCTGGAACACTGTAACAGATTTTAACTTATTTAACGAGATTATTTTCAAAGTTAAGACAATTTTAACACTACCCAAAAAGATTCAGGATATTGAATCAAACACATTACTTTCTTGACAAACCAATAAGTATATCTTATTGTATTCATGTGTGAGAAAAAAACAAGATAAAACTTGATATGTAAACATTTTAAACTTTTCTCAGTTATCAAAGGTAAAATTGTTAATAAATAATTTTAATGGTGATGTTGAGTGACAATTAACAAAACAATGAAGTTGTATTTATTGATGGATGTTAAAATCTTTCTTACCTGACAATGTATTTCAGCAAGTTACTCACCTCTCTGCTATTACTTCCCACTACTGCTGAGAAGATTTTGGACTCACCTCTACATGCATTAATGTGGACTGTGCCAGCTTAAGAAACTTTTACACAAATTTCCACACAACTGAGTTATAATCCCACATTGATAAGATGGTGAAAGGTCTGGTGCAAATAAAGGAATTACAAAGGTAAGCTCCTTTTTGAAATCACAGCTGATAAAAGCAAAACCCATAGAAAGTGTCACCCACTTAGTGGTAGTCTAGTGGGGCATCATTCAGTAGGAGATTACATCTTTCTCATGCAAGGAATTCTCTTTATCCAATAAAGATGAAATAGCAAAGGGTATTGTCAAGAAAACCTTCTGTGTAATGCTCAAGTGTCAAATGGGTGGACAAAATGTAAAATTGCTCAATGAGTCAGTATCTCTCAAACTGTCAGCTCAGCACGAGTGTGCAGTGTGGCTAAAGCAATAAATCAGGCTGTACCATAGTGAAGAAATACTTATGAGAGATACCAATCAAACTATTCAGGCTCAGGGAGAAAATATCCCAGACCTGCAAATTGGAATGCAAAACCCATCTGACTGGCCTAACCACTAGAAATGGCCTGGTTCAGTGTAGTGGGGTGGCCTATACTGCATGAAACCCCAGCCTTATTTCACATCAATAGGTGCACCCACTTGGTCTCATACTAATGGACTACACTTACCCAATGGAGAACTCTATATATTGACATTCCTATTGGCTTGAGGAAGCAAGAGTTTTACCTTACACAACTAGAAGATGAAATATTTTTTCATGGGAGAGAATGTCGAAGTAGTGCTCAGATCAAACAGAAACATCCCATCTCTATAAGCTAAATTGTACAAGAAGTTACAACAAGTAGGGATACCAAGACCTAGCCAAGTGTAAGGGCACGCACACACCTCATGCTGTAATGTCTATATTTTTGGAAAGCACTGAGCAAAAGTAGATGGGCTTAATACTTTCTGTTATCCCCTTATTGGTGCAGGTTTTGGTACAGAAAAGTATTCCCCATGAGGTATAACTAGTCACATGGTGGATTCCATCATCTTCAGTAAATATACACTGATATATAACAATAGCGAAGAAGGAGCCATAAAAAAAACCAAAATAATTATCACCTCACCTTGCTACTCTCCCTGGGAAAACTGGAGAATGCAACTCAAGGAAATGCAGAAGAAACCACTACGTGGTGTAAGTAATGGAACACAAAAGTGTCAAGGTTGTCCATAGCTCTGCTTAGAAAATTTCATCCAAGGGATGTCAGTGGTGAGTGACAAAAGAAGCTGCGAGATGTTGAACCTGATGGAAGGCAATTGGAAAAAGTTGACAAGAAGAATAAACATGCCAGATGATTTTTCAAAACCAATCAGTCAAAGTGGAAGGTAATAGGTCAAGAGAAAAAGAATCCTATAGCAATACAAAACTATGGCAATTGCCACATTTGGGAACAACATAAGCAAAACAATACTGAACTACCAAAACGGGACACTGAAGTTGATCGGAGATATAATGACCATACAGAGAAACATGGAAGGAAAGTGATTAGTGAAAACATCTAACAATGTAGTGTTAGAAAAAGTGGATTGGGAATGAAATCAACCTATCCCTATAATAACGTTCTGGAAGCATCTAAGGTAAAATGTCAAAAGGCACCTCTCAAAAAGGCTCTCAAAAGATCTGTAAGAACCAATTCAGACTCGGAGCTTCCATGCCAAACCTGTAGCTTCTGGAATTAGAGATATAAAGAATCAAAGCTAGATTTTGAGAAGAGTCAGAAAGGTAGCAATAAAAGGATTCTCAAAACAGGAGCACATCCACTGAAAACACCAGAGGATGAAGAGACCCCTCTATAAGAATGATCTTGGCTAGATTAAATAGTCAATCAGCCACTATGTTTGAAGCTCCCAAAGCATGATAAACAGACAACCAAACATGATGATCATGGGTCAAAAAAGAGAAAGTAAAGCAAGGAAAACAGAAGTGCTTAATGCAAATTTCTTGCTGTCAGTGGATGTAAGCAACAACAGAGTAGATGTTCGTTTGAAGCAGAATTATACCAGACAGATGAAAAAATGTGGGCAAGCTTGTTGAGCAACAAACATCTTGAGGTTATTGATAAAGAGACTGATCCTCCAAAACAGCCTCCCCAAGTGAGACAAATTCTGAAGAAAGGAAGTCGCAACAATGGATGTTACATTGGATGGGGCAAGTAGAGGCCAAGCATCCCTGGAACAGTAAGTCTAAGAAATGCAACCTATGAGCAAAGGCCTACCAGACCCAAAGGAAAACACATGGGGTTGTGGAAAACCTAATGGGAAGGGCTGTGAATAGCATATTCGACTGTTGTGGATGAACTAAAGGAAACAAAAGTGAGCAAACACATGGGGATGTGAATAAAGCATTTGAGACATCAATATGATGATGCAGACTCCATGGAAAATACCCAACTCAGAGTGGAAAAAATATCCATCTTTAACTGAGGAACAACCAAAGTCGGTTCAAGTGGGACAGATCTATAACACGTCAACATTCACTCTTCTTCGTGGTAATGACAAAAGTACAGGAGTAAAACCCTAGAGTGGGATCAAGGAATTGGATTATGGTATTCTAAAAAAAAAAAACCCAAACAAAGCAGTGCCAAGGAATAGAATGAACCTTTGTTCAAATGATGGTACTCATGGTGATTACTGAGCATGGATCATAGACTGGCACAGTGCATGTAAATAGGTGGAGAGGGGGGGGAGCTTCATTCAAGTCATGGCTTGCACAAAAACCTTCTCAGCAACTCTAGCAGAATTAAGAACCTCAGGGGCCTGAAACACTAAATAATATGGGGCCCCCTCATCCTCATGCATATTATTTTTGTTGTACAAGACAAACATTGCTTGACAGTTAAATATAGACCTTGGTTTACAGATGTGTGTATATATATTTATAATTAATTTCTTTTGTGTGTGTGTGTGTGCAAATTTTTAATTGTCAATCCTATTTTAACAACATAAATCTTCCTCTAAGAAAATTTATTCATAACTATAAAACCATTTCAAATAACATTCCCAATTTAAAAACATTTTTAAAACTTGTTTTCATTCTATAATTCATCTTTTTTCAACAACACTCTTTACATACGGTATCCTAGCATAAACTTTTATGGGGCCCATGACCAGTAGCCTCATCTGTCCTCCCATTAAACTGTCACTGCTTGGCAATGATATGAGGTAATAGTTCTGTATTGTGCAGAGATGAATAATGTTTTTGAATTATCATATCCCTAGTACATGCACATTCCTTCATTCCAAAGGTTCTTTCACTTCGTTGGAAAAATATATCTTTTTATCAGCAACAACTTAAACAAGTTTTCACTTTATGCCTAGTCTAAAGCTAGAACTCACTGTACAACTGCCTGCTACTGACAAAGCTCAATACATGTCTAATTTGTTATAACAGGCCTGCTGAACATATGTACATAAATATGTATTCATTTATGTAATATAAACAATTTTCATCAACATTATTATTAACATAAAAAGACAACATTCTGATAAATAAGAGAAGAAGGCCTTATTTTGCTTTACCTTATTTGTATGTTGCTTATATTTTCATTCTTTACAAAAGGCTTTTATTAACTAAATCTTATACAGATGTTACAATTTTGTTTAATAGTGTTCAGCACTCTTAATATAAAAATTGTAGCAGCACCAATGAATAATTGAATGTCCTTTTGAAATAAACTGTGGGAAAAAAATATCTGAAGAATACTAAAGTAAATCAAAAAAATGCATGATCTTTATTTGTTTCGAACAAAATAATGCATTACCAGCTAGTTGTATAATCAGATAAATTTCTGCAACACTCATGCTTAGCATAAGTTACACATCAGCACACAATTTGTAATGGTTGTGAATGACGATTTTTTTGTCATTTTTATTTTTAACTTGCTATATTGGTATCATTTTAGCTGTTAAATTTACCTTGCATTTGTAAAATTGTAGTTTATTTTTTATGTTTTTGATTTTTATGTCATTGCACAGAGAGAGACAGACACATACTGTTTTTCTGTCATTTCTTTTTTCTTTCTTCCAAACACTTTTCAATTGACTACCATTTCTTCAATTCAGAGCATACTAACTTGAAACTTGGTATGGTTAACCTGGGTCAAATATGCCCAGACATTTTATTTTCATTTTTCTAGTTT